CCTGCTTATCTTGTAGGGAATAATGCTGCAATATTGTGGCAGCAAAGTGAGACCTCCTAGGAAACGAGAGTCTTTAAAACAAAACTAAATCAAAACTGATTTCACATACACTCTGATACACATATTCTTACAAGCACGAATATGTGCAAGGAGTCCGTACAGCATGCAAGCACCAAGACATATGTATTCAGTCAATATTTGCAGGATTCCCTGAAATGATACAGAGGATGCCAGCTGTCCATTCCTCTCATGTCATCTTGGCTTTTCGTAGGTTAGGCTTGACTTGGCTTGTTGTCCCAGCTAGGAGCTGACAGTGGTCTGTCTTGCTGTTCTGTCTCATCTCTGTTACACATCATGATTTACTTGTCCTGTGTCTCCCAACCTGGTGCCTGAAAAGTTGCAGGTAGATGGGGGCTAGGATCTTGACAACCCACTAATCTTGGTACCGTCAACACCTGCTATTCTAATATGCCTTATCCTGCCATTTTTTACTCTGGTGCTTTTACATCAACCAGTGTATCACATCCTTGACAGTGTGGCTGACAATGATGGAACTACAGTTGTGTACTGTGGGCCAGTTTGGATCTTTGCGGCTGCTCCACAGATGTTATGCTGTATGTCACAGGTGGAATTGTTCTGAAGCTGAACACCACAGACTGTGAATCTGTTCCTGGAGAGAAAGGTCACCATCTTCAGGATAACCTACTTGAGAAGTAAAAGCACTGGAAGTACAGGACTTGGGCTGAGCTGCTCACTTGAAGCTTGAGATGGGACTCATCAAAAAATTTCACACAAGTCAACTTACATCATAGGACTTCTACCTCAGAAGGAATCATATTGCTTTCATATCATCTTATCTCAAGTCAGGTGTCACTCTATATGATCATCAGCTTTGCCTAAAATGTGAAAATATAGCCCTGCTGAAAGCACATTTTTCATTTTTTCTTCTGTCATTGTCCAGAGATTCTGATTTCACAAGAAGACCATTAAACTAGCTGGGACATATCTGAACTTCTTTGTGTCTCTGAGCTATTGTTAATTCTTCAACAATGTGCTAAGAAATTGTCTTCTTTGTGGAGTTCATGGTGAAAAGCATCAGTGCCACCTCCTCATAGGCTTAGTCACACAGAATCACAGAATCACAGAATCATTAAGGTTGGAAGAGACCTCCAAGATCATCAAGTCCAACCATCAACCAGTCACTGAATCAGTACTGTTACAAGCCAAGGAAACTGGCTTTCCAGCAGTCCCAAGTGAGGTGAACATACTCTTCAAGGCCAACCGCATCCTGGGCTGCATCCAAAGAAATGTGGCCAGCAGATAAGGGAGGTGATTCTGCCCCTCTGCTCTGCTCTGGTGAGACCTCACCTGCAGCACTGAGTCCAGCTTTGGAGTTCCCAACACAAAAAGGACATTGAAGTGCTGGAGCGAGTCCAGAGGAGGCCACAAAGATGATCCAAGGGCTGGAGCACCTCTCCTACAAAGACAGGCTGAGAGAGTTGGGGTTGTTCAACCTGAAGAAGAGAAGGCTCTGGGAGGACCTTATAGTGACCTCCCAATACCTGAAAGGTGTCTATGAGAAAGCT